ACCCCTTGGATTCTCTTGTTGCTTTGTGTTCAAGTTTGTTAAATATAGTAACTTTGATTTGTGGCATGTGGTCAAATCATGGAAGAGAAATACTGACCTTATTTTATTTGGTAGTATTTATTTGCTTAATAATTATTGACATATCCTTATGGAATATGTGACATGGATCATGCAATTTTATGGAATGTATGATATTTATTTTATTGAAATATATTGATGGGAAAATGGTTTAAGGAAATGGGGATAAAGGTCCAAGCACCTTCCATAATGTTGATGACCTATCTATGGAATGGATGGCTCAGATCTCTCACCCCACAAATCACCTTGATTAACGGTCTAAATTCAATATCATGAAAAATGTAAACTATAAGGAAACCCTAATAAACCCTAAACTTAAATATCCACTATAAATAGGGGTGCTTTCCCCCTAATCTCTACATACAAGCTCTCTCTTTCTTGTCTCTCTCACCTCCCTCTCCTAGAGGGGCATGCCCCACTCTCTCTCCTCCATATTTCTCTCTAATTTTCTTTCTCCAAAACCTTAGGTAGTACTCTCTCTCATCTCTAGACTTAAGTTAATTTTAAGGGTTGGAAAAATTAAAGAGGGGGCCTAAGTTAATTTTGGGGATTAAGGTTTAGTAGAGATTTTAAGGGGTGGTTACCTAGTTTGGCCGAAATCAGCTATCCCGGTTTAAGATTGAAGCTAGACCACAGATCTAGCGTCATTGGATGTGGTGACTCGGTGTGGGGCGTAAAAAGCCCGGTTGAAGTAATCTCCGACATCTTTTCTTTTATTTGTTTGTTCTTTTATTTTATATTCTCAAGCACAGTATTAGGTTATATGAATGGCATCAAGTAGTTGAGATTTATTTAATCTCCGATATCTTTTCTTTTATTTTATATTCTCAAGCACAATATTAGGTTATATGAATGGCATCAAGTAGTTGAGATTTTTTTTATTGATGTGTTATTTATTTTTTTTGAATTTCTATTGTTTGTAACAAGACCATTTGTGAGTGATCTTTTTGTCAAAATTATAAAGGGTGATTATTATTTAATATATATATATATATATATATATATATCCACGGCAAAAGATCACATGGGTCTTTCTTTCCTTGGTATCAGAGCTAGTTTTACTTGATTGCCATTATGAGTCTTTTCTTATTTTTGCTTGAGAATAGAAATATATGGCTGCTCGTACCTTCATCTCTGAGATCCTTAGAACCGAAAGGTTTGATGGGGCCAACTTTGCTTCATAGAAAAGAAAAATTAAATTTGTGCTCTATGAAGAAAACTTGCATGAGGTACTCTTTGAGGACCAACCTTGTCATCCAACTGACGACCCATCTCAAATAATCAAATATGAGTACGCCAATTAGAAGAGGAGGAACTTGATACGCAAGTACATTCTTTTATGTGCCATAACTAACTCGTATGCTTCTGAGTACGAGTCAATCTATACTGTAAGTGAGCTTTTTGATAAACTTGAAAGAAAGTATGTTGAACCCTCTCTCATGAAGTAAACTACAGCTATAAGAAGGTACAATGATTTAAAAATGGTAGAAGGTACTAAGTTTGCAGATCATGTGTACGTGTTTCGTGCGCTAGTAAGAGATTTGGAAGATACAGGCATGAAGCCCAATGAATCTATGCAAGTGATTCATCTAATGAATTCTCTTCTTAATTCATGGGAGACTTTCTTATCTTCCATCTCTGCTAGAAGGAAGGCACCAAAATTGGAGGAACTCATCACGACCATCAAATCTGAAGAAGAAATGAGGAGTTCAAGGCAAACCCCTAGGGATGCTGTGCATATGGTAAAATCTCAACCATCTTTTAAATTTAAGAAAGGAAGAGAATACATATTTTCGAGAAGAAAAGATATTTCAAAAGAAGGGATTTTGGAAATAAGAGAGCATATGTGGATGATATGCTATTTATTAATAGCTCAACTACCCTAGTAGTAGAGACGAAAAATTTTATTGCACAACACTTCGATATGAAGGATCTTGGAGAAGCTTCATCTGTGTTGAGCATCAAGATAATAAGAAAGAGGAGAGAGAAGACTATCCAACTTTCCCAGGGAACCTACTGTAAGAGGATTTTGGAAAAGTTTGATATGAGTATGTGTAAGCCCATGTCTACCTCAATTGATAAAAAGACGAAGCTTAGTAATAAGATATATCCTACCGAAGACATGTAAATAAGAGCCATGGAGAGAGTGTCATATAGGAGCGTAGTTGGGTCCCTTATGTATGCTATGACGAGAACAAGGCTTGACTTGTCATTCATCATGAGTCTGGTGAGCTGTTTCCAAAGTAATCGAAGAGAGGAGCGTTAGAAAGCTGTGACAAGAATTCTCAGATATTTAAAGGGGACCATGAACTATACGCTCACATACAAGGGGGGAACTGAAATAATAATAGAGGGATATTCAGATGCAAGCTATCTCGCGGATCCAGATGATGCGAAGTCTGCATTTGAGTATGTGTTAATGCTTGGAGCGGGTGCGTTTTCTTGAAAGTCAAATAAACAAGATATTGTGGCCTTGTCCACCATGGAATCCGAGTATGTGGCATGCAGTTTAGTAGCCAAGGAGACCGTGAATTAAGAAGTTTTTTAATCAACTTAATTTTCATCATGGATGTTGTGAGGCAGTACGAATTTTCTACGATAATACTGTGGCTATTTGTGTCTCTAAGGAGCCTCGGTTTCACAAAAACTTCAAGCATATTATGCTTTATTTTTATCACATGAGAAATGAGGTGAGATTGAAAGAGATTGAGATCAGCTACATATCTACAAATTTGATGATTGCAGACCTTCTGACTAAGGGGGTTGTCCTTAATGTTTTTGTAAGACATGAGAGAGAGATGGGGATGAGAGAAAGTGAGGAAGAGAGAATATAAGGCCTTCAAAAACCAAGTGAGA